AACCAAAGATTCAAAGCAGAAACATTTTCTTCTGCAGATACCAAGGCGAAACTTCCAAATAACATCGCAAGATGGTTTGAACAGATCCCAGATACTTGTTATTAAACGACAGAATCTGTAAAAGGCTTGAAAAATGGTAAAATTTATGAAAACAGTGAAATCAGCCATGGGATGCTTAAAGCTCTAGACGAATGCTTGTTGTGGCCAATGGAGAGTCGTCATCAACGTGCATTTCTCTTGCTCGAATTTAGAGATGTATGATTGGACTGTGGTCATCTCGATCAACTGTGATATTCGACCCACCATGTTGCATGAGATGCTCTCCGTGAGCACAGAAGAAACTTCTGTGAAATCAATGACAATGTTATTTATTGTGCACAAAATTTAACTTTATAAATAAAGCTACTTTATATATCAGCTCGTTGTTCTTCCATAAAAATTCGACTTTAAACTAAATTATATTAGCAAATTTTAATTTTGTGATATAATTGGCAGCGCAATTATCCGTTCCAACTGATCTTCGTAATAAACCAATGCATAAAATGTTCTCGCATACCATAATGTCCTCGGGCAGGTGTAATGTGGATTCGCAGTACAAAACAGAAATATCTGCAATTCATGAATTTGGCAATGGATTCATCTTGCACTCTCAGTGAGTTTTCCATCGATATGCAACATGATAAATGGTCGCAAAAGCCATCAAGGTATGCATAATAAAATTGTATGACTCGAAGTTAATGAGCTCTTTTAATCCGACCATGTAAACTGTTATTCACTAGTTTGACTGATGTTTGGTATTGTACTCACTAAAAATAAATTTTTACATTATGGTCATGGAGAGTTTCTAACAGATATATAATACGGTGTGTTAGATGCTGCAATTCATCGAGATTACTATATTCTAATTACTTAGATTTAAACTCGCACCATAGTACTGTACGTTATTATCGACTATCGATCGGCGCCGAATCGTCCCGTTCCGAGAGGTAAATGGCATCGAATCAAAAACTTGCAACGCCTGCAATGGTCTCCGCCAAGACGGTATTCTTCCACATTTCTGTATGTTTTATGGTTTATGATTAAGGTTTTCTCTATGTTTATGTGATTTACATGAATGGAATGGGCGACGACTGTAAGCGTTAAACATTTATAACGTGGAGGCTGCTATTTGCACACTAGACCTTGTTTTGTTGCCGTGTGTTGCAACTGGTCTCCAGCGCTCTCTCTGGCAAGGTTCACAATCGAGTATGGCCTGAACCGGCATCCCTGTGCTTATTACCAATAACCTAGTACTTTCTCATTCCCGCTCACTGAGCTCTACAGATAAGCGTGGAAGCAGTGGTGCATATAAAGAACTTTACGTACCTCATGATCAAGTTTGCTGGTGATGAGAAATGAGAAAAAATACCTACTGGAGAATGGTAATGACCTTTGGCGTTCTGCCTGGTAATCATTCTGAACCGTTGTGATCAAAACCGAGGTGAATCGAGCAACCGAGCTATTTGAGTTCAAGTCGATTTTCAACCCCAATGACAGAAAACATTCGAAAACATAGGCCATGGACATGACTGAAAACTTCGATTCTTGTCAAAGCGGATGAAATGAGCCTTTTGAGACAAATCGCTGTGGTTGCGCGTGTCGACACGGTCCAAGAGAGAGTACCGACCTCCTCGGAGATCCTCGGTCGCTCGGGTCGGGTACCTCTTGTGAATTTTTCCAACAGAAAAGGCGAAACAGCTGCTACCTGCTAAACCGAGTGATCGAAGACCTTGGGGTGGGACAAAAATAAAACGGGAGAAAAGTGCACTCAGTGACTCTGCTCCAGACTTAGGCTATCTTTTGCCGAAGTTCAACCGCTGACGCTGGAATAACAATGTTTCAAATAGGGCCTGACGCGTTTGTCTCCGTGTCCCTAATGGATAAGCAGTCAATGAAACTGCCTGACTGACTGCGGAAACGTTTCATTCGCTTCATACATTCGCAATATGGCATTTAAAGCTTTTCTGACTTATATAGCTCTTGTTCGTTAGATGTCTGTTACTGGTGATAGTTAATCTCAGATGATTATACTAATTATACCGTAACATGCCTTGATGGACCGGTGTTCAGCCATTGAATGGACTTCGCCAATCACAATATGTTATTCACTGTTTTTTCATTTGAGCCCTCCTTCGTCTATGGTCGAACACTGCTTCATGGTACCTTACCTCTTATGATAAGTACCTCATCTTTCAGGAAGCAAACAATCAGTTAATGCGCGGCAATTCTCAGTACTGCTTCCATTAGAGTTCTGACAAGATGTGGAATATATAGCATTTTATCTAGTCACTAACAAAACAGAATTCAACACCGATTGCCTTGAGTTAATTATAACGGAAATATAACAATGCTTTCATCGCTGGGCCGCCGTAATGCACATGTAAATCATATCTGCTAGGCTGACAACAGTAACTTACTATTGTTTGCCATGGCTGCTGACGAACGCTCCGCCGTCGTGCTCAAGTCAGAAAAGCCAAAACATTGACAACACAATGATTAAATTGATCACTGACGCAGGCAGGGTTGTTAAAGTTGAGAATTTGCATAAATGACAGTTTTGCTGAAAATAGTAGGGAGTTGCCATAGAAACTTAGTTTCAAGTTCAGCTTTCAAGTATCTAAGCATAAGAACACCTTCACCGGTCTGTCATCCGTAGCGCCTTCTAGCCTGAGTGGAGCAACTTATGATAGAGAGTAACTTGTTGATCGACAGAAAAACCATTAAGAGAAACGTCGAGTAATTGCGTGGCGACGACACAATGAAATCGTGACCTGCTGAGCGGCCCACTCCTTCCTTCTATGAATCTCTGAGCAACGGAAAGCAATAACATCAGAAGTGTACGTGACAAAAGACATAACCACGAAGAAGGTCGTTGAGATTAAATCTTCAACGATTTAGAGGCATTGCTTGAAGGTGATAATAATCAGATTTGTTTCATATGGCTTTAGTTGGAGCCATTTTCGAAATATCGCATCAAATTCGACAGCCTCAGATCGAATTCTTGCTTTTTACAAAAACAATTCAAAGGTTAAAGCTTACTGCTTGAAGAAACTGGTGATACGTCAGAAAAAAGAAATTAAAAGCTGCGTAAATTAAACGACAAATGAAAATCAACCCGAATAAAACAGTCTATAAGGTTATTAAAAGCAAACTCAGTAACAAAATAAACAATTCCAATTTACCGCATAGCCTCCAAAAACCATGCATTAACCCCAATGTTTAAATCTTCGAAACCATTTTACAGATATGATCAAGAGCAGATTGTCAAGCTGTCAAATGATGCGTCTAGATTTGGCGAGTAACAGACGAGAACGACGGCGACAACAATTCATTTGTAGAAAATTACGTTTCTCGACCTGCCGTATCACCGAGTATACCATATTGCAACCGTAGAAACGGTTTTCACCCTTAGAGAGGGCTTTCCTCATGATCTTCTTCCGTAGCCGCTTCTCCTTTCGAGTCGCCGAGGCAGACGCATCGAAGAAGATCGGCATCCAATGATACCGATCCTTTGCAAGGGTCTGAGCTTCGGCACATGACAGTTGGAGTCTGGAACAGAATCCATCCACATATTTGCATCAGATTAATTTTGACCGTACCCTCGACCTCCAACCGGTCGGTTTCAAAAGAAAGAGTTGCATAACCTTACTCTCGGGAGACATTCAAAACACATGCCCAAATCATCGCACTTGTGACTTCTCAATCTCGAGAAGCAGAGGCCGACCAGAAGGCTCTCCCACATGTCAGTATTCCGGACCATCTCGAGACGGATAAGACCAGCGACTCGCCTCAGGAAGCCCATTTCAGCCGCTTGTACCCGGGCTCAAAACTTTTCATTCATACTCCGTGACTCACAACTGTAGGTAAACATGGGAATAAAGATCGACTGGAAAACCGAGAGCTTGGTCTTCAGATTCAGCTCTGCTTTAGTCACAGAGGAACAGGCGACTTTACCCAGAACGTCAACTACTCCAATCCACCAGTCGATCTCTTCCTCAAATTTTCCATCACTAGTAAATGCAGTTCCGAGGTACTTCAGTTTCTCCACCTGCTCCGCTGTCTCTTCGTTAATCTGAAGACAGCAACGGGCAGGAGAAGAGAAAGCACTCGGCTTTTCGTTTTAGATGCGTTCACCAGTCAAGTCGCACCCGGCTGCGAACCTTTCTAGGGAGCACTAAAAGTCACTTTCCGAAGACGCTAATAAAATAAAGTCGTCTGCAAACAGCAATCGTCTCGTCTTTACATCTAGTACACCGATGCACTCATCGCCTTGCCAACTCCTGACCATTCTATCCATGTACAACACAAACTGGGTAGTGGACAGGAACGAGGTTT